GGCGTGGAAGTGCGCGACTCCAGCACGTCTCGATGCATACTGCTTGGTACATTCACTGCAGCAAAGGAGCTTGGAGTGGAGGGCTGCGTAGTTGGCTTAGGTGTTGGATGCGCGTTAACCGCAGTAAAGCCGCCGGAATTTACTGGTGTAAAGCCCGATTGCATGGCTGGCTTTGGGAGCTCGGGCGGCGGGGTTGGAGCTGATTCATTGTGCAGAGTCGCGTTGAGAGCTGCTGAAGCCTTCATAGCGGGCGACTCGGTGGCATTGGCTGCGGGCGTCCCATGTAGCGATCTCTTCACAGGCGAATGTCCTGGTGAGGGCGTAAACGGTCCGCCGTGCTCGTATTCCAGCATCTGCTGCACACCGGGTTTCACCAGCCGTAGGTACTCTTCGTACGGGTGCAGCCATTTTTGGTACGAGTTTTTGAGGGATGTAGACAGCGAAGACATTATCTTGCCGCTGTAGCCGAGGTCGCGTCCTATTTCAGCCCATTTCTTCTGCTTGCAGACACGTTCAAAGCCGCCCCTCTTCTCGACGGCCTTTTTGAGTTTGTAAAGATCCAATGGCCGTTTGTCCACGCTTGGGAAGCGTGTGAGACTGTGGCCATGCTGCTTGTGAAATTTGGCGAGCTGATCCAGATAATTCAGATTGGCACGTGTACCTAGCCCTGATCAGACGTGGGTTAATAAGGCAAAGTTTGACTGGTACATACCCCCCTCGACGGAATTCAGTTCCTGGCGTCGCGTGCGAAAATGAAAGCGCTGTTCCGCATCAGCTTGGATCAAAGTGATTCATCTTAACAGCAGTGAAGATGGGCACAGGCGCAGTCGGGTATGGCGTGTGCACTCACCTCTGTATCTATTGCAAATCCTGGGTTCCAGCTATCCGGCGGAACAATCTTGACAATGCCGTATTTCTGTGCCTCTTCGCGGATGCTCTGGATGTACTTGACAGGGTCCTTGAACTGCTCGGTGGTCGGTCGATAGGTAGGAGCTTCGCGCAGGCCGAAGAGACGGTTCTGTTTGGGCGGCAGATTGTTTGGCGCTCCATGCCCTCTGCGCTCTACCGTGGCGAGATCGAGTGGTGCTGCCTTGCGCGCGCTCAAAGGGATGGTGCTTGCCCCATTCGGTTGCGCGCCGTTCGTGGCAGGTGTCGCGCCGCCGCTCGTTTTTGACTTTGATGCTCCAGGGGTTCCGTCCGATGCTCCATTGTCCGTGGCGACCCGAAAGGTAGTCATTGTAGCGCCTGTGGGAGGCCCGGCTTGGGGTATAAAGTCGACCATGGCCCTTTCCCTACTCGTTGCACCCGGCAGGACAAGTGGTAGGGATTATCTGCGGCCTCGCGACGGTGAAGGGGAGGTTTCTGGGTAAGGCGATGGCAGTCGGGATTGAGTTTGTCGGTGGTGGTGGGCGCTATCGAGGGGATATATCTGCAGTCATGGAGGCTCTGGAGCGGCAAGCGACCGCTTTTGACCCAAGTCGGGCCGTGAGGTTCACTGATATTATGTAGAATGACACGCCCGGAAGAGGGCAGGCCTGGGGACTGGCGACGAACGTGGGTGTGGACAGGTACGTATGTGTGGCGCGGTCTCGTGGGGAGCGGCGAGGTATGAGGAGGATGGATGGGGCCGCTGAAAGGTGCGAGAGGTTCCCTACTATGCCTCGCTAGCGGCGGATGCACTATCACACCCAAGGTACCGAACTCAAATCCATCGACGCTTATTCCGGCGGTGCGCAATCATCGGTCGCGTGTGCGAAATCCCAATGGTGCCTGCGCCGTGCTGCCCCGTGTTTCTGGGACTGGCTCATCCATGGCACTGGTGTCCATTCGAGCGATATCAAAGGCCGCCGTCACGGTAGTCGTGGTGGATGGTATCAGACCTCCTCCACGCCCCCCATCTGGCCACGGCATGACGGCTCCTACACCTATGCTCGCGCACATACACCCCCCTGTCTGGACGCCTGTTCAATGGCTGGGCAGACACATTGTATACCATGCCCTAGCCGGCACGTGCAAAGTGCTGGCTGCGTCGCTGCCCATTCCAAGGCTGCCGACCCAGACTGTCAGCATCGTCGGTTCATGCTGATTTCATTCATTAGCCGCATCGGACACAAGACTGGCTGTCATCAAGGATCTCGTTTCTGCAGCAGACAGTCGTGGGATCCATGGGCACTACAGGTAAGAAGGCCGAGCGCAAGGTTGTCGCATCGGGAACGGCCCCGGCCCCGCCAATCACAGCGCTGCCCATCTGCACCATCCCGTCAGCCCTAGCTGGCCGTTGCCGCTTCTAGATGCCATCGACAACAACCCTCTGCCTCGACCTCACGTCCTTTGCCAGGCCGTCCAATGGCCAGTACCATCAAAGTAGAGAGCCGACCTATCCCGGCTTTCTACTGCTGCTATCTGCTTCGCTCCAAGAACCGCAAGGCCTTTTACATTGGCAGCACGCCTAATCCGGCACGTCGCCTGGGCCAGCACAATGGATCTACCAAGGGCGGCGCAAAGCGAACCTCAATGCAAGGGAAGCGGCCATGGGAAATGACTTGCATCGTCACAGGGTTCCCCTCCAAGTCGGCCGCCCTGCAGTTCGAGTGGGCGTGGCAAAACACGCACGCGACTCGCCACATCGAGCGAGATGTACGCGACGCAAGACGAGACGAATTGTACAAGGGCAAAAAGAATGCGTCGCCCGCCAAGAGACCCCGGCCACCAATGTCGCTCGAGGCACGATTGAAAAATCTGCATCACCTGTTGGGGGTTGGGAGTTTCAGCCGATGGCCCCTACACATTCGCTTCTTTGCCTCCGACGTCTTCGCGCAGTGGGAAAGACACATTTCCAAGATGAAAACAAAGCTGCCAACTTACATCACGGTTAGACTAACACCAGCCGAGCTTCCCGAGCTCGCGTCAGATGTACAAAATGAAATGCGCACACATTTCATACCAGATGTCATACGGTCAATTCCAGTTGCATACGAAGACTGCAAGTCGTACGTCGAAAAATCAAGAAGTATGCTCGCAGACGGTCAAAAGACAACTTGCGCTGTTTGCAAGAAGAACGCACATTCAGGAGAGTCGCTGGTGCTGATCTGCCCTATGGAGTCCTGCCGTTCCGTGTCACATGTGACCTGTTTATCGCAAAAGTTTCTTGCAGAAGAAGGTAACAAAGACGCATTCATTCCAGTTGAGGGAACGTGCCCAAACTGCCATACCCTTCTCCGATGGTCTGAAATGATGAAAGAATTGAGCCTAAGGGTGCACGGCCAGGAGGAGATCCAAGCCATGTTCAAGACAAAGAGGACGAAGAAAGCAGAGGGCAGCACCGTAGAAGAGGTCGACGAATTTCCTGACATTGATGAACTGGATGTTGAATTGGACGAAGACCTCGATGAAACGTGGATTGAGAATGTGAACGAGGATGATGATAAGATACCAGCGTCAAACAATGGATAAATACGTTTACCATTCTTCGACTGTTCGTAGCGGCAACTGTCCTTTCGCAACTCGCTCAATGCACCGATCTGCCTGTTCTCTGACCTTTGCTGCCACTTCTTCAAGACTGGCACCCGCGTCGATGCGCACAAAGTCTTCGCCCTCTTTCTTCTGCATCAACGTCTCGAACAGTTCTCGTACGCGGTCCTGCATGTCCTTCTTTTCGTACTTTTCCGTGCCAAAGCCGCCTCGCTTTGCCGCATCATCTGCAGAAATATCGAGGAAAAGACACAGATCCGGTCGTGGGAGTCCAACATCAGGTTGTCGGCACCACTCGAGGCTCATGTTGGGGTTCTGCTTGGCGGCTGAATACACGCAGCCGCTGTAGTAATAGCGGTCAATGATGACCGTAGTACCAGCAGCAAGGTTTGCGCGAATAGATGGACTGCAATTGTAATTAGTGTCCCAATGGCTCATTCGGAAGATGGTGGTGACCTACGCTGTTTCCCATCGATTGGCAGAGAACAAGAGATGAATCACATGATCCTCCTGGTCGCTTTGCCCACTCAGATAGCTATTAATCATCTGTCCAATCGGTGTCGTTCGATCTAAACACGGCATCAGTCTTTTTCCCTCGAATCCTTTGATATCCATGTAGCTACTTCTTCTTCACAGTGATTTACTACCAAAATTCCCCACGAGGGCGTACACGTACCAGGAAACCGCATATGCCGCACCTTGATGCCATCATTTTGCAAATCCGCAACAAGCTTCTCACACTGTGTGGATTTCCCTGCACGATCCAAGCCCTCGAAAACTATCAGTTTGCCGCGCGCCATGGTCGGGTTGGGGGATTGGGTTGGCGTCGTGGAGGGGTTGATGCGCGGTCGAAGCGGCGTGCTGGTGGGGCGGAATCGTGCATCGCGTTGCGAAGGCGCTAGTGAGGGGGTGTGCCTTCCGTCCTGTCATGGTGTTTGCGAAAGCACTATCAATCACTGATACTCGGTTGTTTGTCTATTTTGCTCATATTCTGCATTATGTTCCTGCGATAATCTACATCTCCTTGCTGTGATTTAACGTGATCCAAGTCAGCTACGAAGATCTGTATGACTGGATAAGAACAGAAGATGAGTGGTGCGAATACGGCAACACAGAAGTGGGCTGTCTTTTTCAATTGGACGCTAGCTTCCTGTAGCCGATTCTGACATGCATTTCGATTGGATATAGCTAAAAGTAAGAAGGATTACAGCAGCAACAAGCGATGTTGAAGCGGGGTCTTCAGCTGGCCGCCATTGCAAAAGGCAACAATCCCCAGAAAGGAGTCCACGGGCCTATCTAGACTGTTTACTTAAGTCATGGGCAGCATTTAGGCCAAGATATCTACGTGTCATCACCCGAGTACTATGGGAATGTTTTGGTGTCAAACGCCACAGCACAAGGCTGATTGACTGCCATAGCCACATTGGCCCCACGCAGGAATGCGTGTTTCAGCCTTGCATGAGAAGGTTAAATGGGCTTTCTCCCATCTTGCTTGTAAACTAGAAAATTGACTCTCTCTCTTCTTCAACATGGCAGATCCTTTCTCCGTCGCCGGTACTGCTGTTGGTATAATCTCGCTCGGTCTGCAGACTTGCCAAATTCTTTACAAATACTGCTCCGATTTTAAGAGCTTCCCTCGCGATGTTGAGGCCACCCAAAGGCAAATCAGAGGCCTTGAGGGTATCTTGCAAGGGCTCCATGAGGTCAAAGAACAACTGGAAATCGACAATCATACACCGTCTTCGCAATTACATATGGCTTTGAAGGATTGCAAGGAAACGTTGCACGAACTTATGAGGATGGTAGAGAAAAGGAACCCCGCTTCAAAATCAGAAGGCGTTCAAACTCAACTTCGAGCTGTGAAGGAAAGGGTCCTCTGGCCGTATAGGAAAGAAGATCTCAAAGAGGTGCAGTCATCGCTCACAAGGTTCCAGGAGAATCTAGCTCTGGCTCTACAGTGTGCCGGCCTTGACGGCACATTACGTCGGCTGAGAGACCTGCATTCTGAGTTCATTATTCAACAACAACAGGCGATTAGGGTAGAACAGGCCCTCAATCAAAATACAGAAGTGTTGCAAATGATTCGCCGAGATGTTGCTTCGCAAGGTCCTGATCTGTCGAAGATATACAATGAAATTATGAGTCTACGAGCTCAGCTTTCAGAAGACAGAGTATCTGTTGAGGTTGGTCGATACCAGTTGGTGAGAATTTCCAGATGCAGCCGTTAGAGTCTATAGGTGCTAATGCTGAAATAGGTGGACAGCGACTCATCTTCTCAACAACTGACTCCCACATCGTCATCAACAATTTATGCTTTCCCACACGAAGAGAACCTTGGGCGCACATCACGGCTTCCAATACAGAGCTGCACCGTCCAAACCGAAAGGTTTTATTCATGCCGCTGTCGCTCGAAACGGAAGCGGAAAGTTGAACCCAGAAGATGGTACATGATCCAAACAGATGAAGCCTATGATCACCACAGAGACTGCCCTCGATTCACACACGGAGACTACACTAAATCCGTTGCTTTTCAGGTTTCCATGTACAACAGTCTGCTAAAGTTCTGTGTGCAGATAGGTTGGCAGTCTTCGAGAAAAGGGGGCTGGAATTCACCGGCACCCGTGCTGAGATATCGGGCTGTAGCTCCGCAAGACTCACCGGTATTCAAACTCTTAGATTGTAGATTAGAGCTCTTTCAGTACGGAAATCTTTTCGAGGAAATATCTAGCAGTATGGCAATCATTCTCCCAACCATTGCACCTAAACTTCAACAGGAGTTTGGAAAGGGTGCTTGTCCTACTGATCTTGATCTGAATGGAGACGGAATTTTATTTGTACGTGTTTACGCCCTTTCTATTTACCACGAACTGATGAAACACAGGCTGTCCTTCGTCTTATAGAAAAGGCAATAGATTTGATGGACTCTAGAGCGAAATTCATGAGCGATGTGTCTAAGGTCATTGATGTGTGTTTCGACGCAGGTGTGCCCTTCAACGATGAAGATGCCTGGAGACGGTACATTCCCTAATTTTCATTGCTTAAACTTACTAACTGCGACAGCACTCCTTTAGAATACTGGATGTTAAAACTACCGCATCGCACTCACTCTATGCATGAATGGAAGATACGCTATGATCATGTTTTATTTCTTCTTATACAGAGGACAGAAAGCTGGTCTTCCATACCAATTTCACTGAGTCGACTGAGCCGCTCATCATATCAAACGTTCTTTGACAACGTCTCAGCTCTTTTACAATTAGAGTCATTTTCCAACAGTAAGTTAACAGCCAGCAACTCCAGATCCCGCGTTTGTATCCGGTCTCACTATTTCTCTTAGCATTTACTGAAGATGATTCCCGACGTGAAGTCATATTGCGAAGGTCAGAATTCGACTTCGCCACTGGCCTGAGAGCTTCAGGTGTTGACGCTTGGGTATCTTTATTTGCAAAATATGATTCCGTGTACGCGCTAGCATCATGGCCTGGAGGGTTGAGCACGGTGTTATCTGATCCGAACGTAATCTTGTCACAAGATCTTCTAAAAAAGCTATTGAACGCAGCTATCACAATAGAGAACGTGGAGTCCATCGAGGTCTTGCTGAACTACGAAGTTCTTATAACACGGGAAACTTGGTACTACATAACAGAAAGGCTTTTCTTATTTGAGAGTCATTACAAGCAGGCGAATTCTTCGTTGACCAAAATTTTCCGTCAGATTGCGGGTCATCTCTACCAAGACCACAACGCTGGTTCAGATGATCAGATCAGTACCAGGAGTTTCGAAGGTGTCAACACAACTGATCAGACCTCGTCGCTATATCACAGTATATATTTGACACCCTTACAGTTGGAATGCGCTTGGCAGGCAGGCCACCGCGGAGTGGAATCCATCGGCCGTATTGGCAATTCACGGCGTGCCAACAAAACTGGAATTAGTACTCCCCTTTGGGCTCAAGCAATTTCATGGTTATTACATGGAAGGTCAAATCCTAATATGATTGCGTCTTTCGGGTGGCTCATGAGACATGGTGCTGACCCCTTTTGGGTACATCCAATTCATCTCACGACGCCGGCTCACGTGCTTACTAGAGAGCTTGTTGGAGAAGACATTTTCGGTACGACATCAAAATCTGAGTACAGGAAAGATATTTTCATGCTTCTATCATCCAAAGTTAGTGACAATTGTCGGTGTTACTGCTCACAAGATGGTTGTAGTGCTATCGGGTGTGCGATTGGGACGCCATTCGGAAGGCCCTGGAGGTACCTTTCAATAACTGGTTTGCGAGAGCATCAGGCATACTTTTTCAGTCTTGTCGATAACAATCACAACGACTCATGGATGGCTTCTGCTATACTTCGAGTCTTGACATTTAAAAACCTATCCCTCACACACACTTGTTGCTATCGATTTCAAGATGAACTATTGGGGGATTTCACGCGCCCGACATCTGAAGAAGCGGAAGAAATCCATAATTTCGAGCGCGATGACGTCGAGGTTCTTGAGAAGATTGTCACAGAGTTGGAGGGAAAATGGGCCGAATACAAGAAGCCTTTTGTCACTTTCATGAACCGAGTGTGGAGGCCTCGAATGCGAAAGATGCACCGGGATCGAGAGGTCGACAAGGCCACCTACCGAGCTGAATTGGTTCAAGTGGGTATCGAATTGGCAGAATCGGATGGGGAAACTGATTTGGAAACTGATTCAGATGGAGAGAGTGATGCAAGTTGGCCAGATGACTATGAGGACACTGGCAGTGAGGGATGGTATACAACCGACGAGGAAGATGGCGCAGATGAGGTGGAAGATGACGGAGAAGGGAGCAGCTAGCGGTTGAACTGTTTGCAAGGGCGGTCTCGAATACCTGAGAAATTTCTAGGGGGCTACCATCTAGTGGGTTTTCTTTGAGTATGAGCTCCAACGGACAGTCGTTTCCAACGTATCAGATACTGATGGGCATGGGTTACACGGGTGTTCATGTACGATTTAAGATTCTGTTGATTTAGCATCGATTTTTCACGTGTTGTTTCGCGCTCAATTTTAGCGACTGGATTGAGTACTGTGGAATTCTAATAACGTTGATACCCATCGATCTCCCACAGGACATCCTGAGCTGTATTCCTTTTCCCCACTTTCGGTCAAACTTACGGAGTAACAGAAACAAGTGAGATTGGCAAAGTTAAAGGAAGCGAAAAACCGACTCCAATTAATTCTATAGCTACCAATGTGTCGCGCTCTATAACATCCAGAATGGAATTGAAGTCTAGATTTCCAGAACATATGTAGTAAGGCATTGAACGGATACAAGAGACGACTTAGGCACCACGCCTATGACCACGCAACTTCTAACCCCTGTCCTCATGTCATATTTGGCAACATTCACTGATTTAGAATATATTGCGTGATTCCAGAAAATTTACTAAGGCACTATTCGCTACCTTCAATTCTATGATTCTATGTCTCCAGCGGAGCCAAGCCCTAGTCAGCCTTACATGGACAAATTGCTCCTGCGTTGACACGTATGCCATCGATCAATATGCTGTGCAACGCCAACTCAGGCGTTCAAGCTACATATCACACAATTTTGATAAGATGGTGTATGCACACAGCGAGTGATTGGATCGGTATCATGCGGCTTGGCGAGGGGATGCCGCAAGGCTGAGCCGAGGTTGCTGCTGCCTAGTCGTTGCATCACTGCTCTGTTCCATCCCCAAAGAACAAAGTTGGACCACTCAGAGCTCATTATTTTATTTGCATTAGGCACCCCGAAATGACTGAAGATATTACTAACATTCTTACTGCGGGAATCGCCGCGCTTGACTTAAAACAGTCGAACGAGGAGACGTGTGATATGGGGAATAGCGCAAACAAGCCGTTGAATGGTAGTGTTTCGCAGAGGCCAATCGCAAAGTTTACTCGTCGTATTAGAACTCAGCATGCAGATCAGTCACGTGGCAGTTCAGTGGAGCAAACACAATTCTTGGGTGCAAAGGACAAAGAGAAGGCTGTTGGAGACATTTCTCGGCTACGCAAAGATTCGCATTCTGAGACTGGCAACTGTACATCGACCACCAAGTCGCCAGCGGTGGACTCGACACAGTCTAAACTCGAAATTTTATTACTTGAAAACGAGAAATTGAGGAAAGAAGTAGATGAATACAGAGATAAATGGAACGAAGAAGTCTCAAAACGGCTCGAAGCAGAAAGCGACCTAAAGGAGAAAGAAGACGAACTATCCACATGCCGCAAAGAACTAGAATATCTAAAACGCCAAACCCAACAACTTCGATCCCACACCACCACCGAGCAAATATCTCTATCCGAAACCAACTTCCCCACCCTCACCGACATCTCCTTCTCAAAAGCCTACCAACAAACCGACTACTCCACACGCGTAACCCTCAACCTCACCCTCTCCAAAACCTACATCTTCCTCGCCAAAGAATGGGACAAAACCGGCCACCCCTACGAAAGCCCCGATGACGGCGCGGTAGCCCTCGTCCGCCTCTTCGGCAACCTCTACGCCTCAAAATGCGGTCCACCCCCCGATCTCTGCACCGACTTCATCGACCGAAAGATCTGGACGCGCAAAGCCATGCTGCTCTCTAAGATGCTGGGCTTACCGCTGGAGCACCGGTGGGCGATGCATGCAGAGATGCAATTGATTGCTTTTTGGCTGACGCGGTACCTGGGGTCTGCGGGGTTTGCGATGCGGGATTTTGATGATCCGGCAGCGTATAAGGCGTGTCCGGAGGTTGAAGGGGGGACGGTGAGGATTTTTGTCAGTCAGAGGGTTTGTGCGTCTTGTTTGGGGGTTGTGGAGAGGGTGAATTGGGTTGTGGGGAAGTATGGGGTGGAGTTTGAGGTGGTGGAGAGGAGGGTGGGGTAGTGGGTTTGTTTGGGTGGTTGATGTGGGTGAGGATGTTGGGAATGGGATAAGTACGATCGAGCGGTGGTTTCAGAAGTTGAGCAGGTAGGTACTAGGATGGTGTGAGGTTACGTCGTTTTGCTCTTACGTAGGTAAAATTGAGTTTGGTCGATTATGAATATCTTGAGAGGTGCTCTTTGTGTATTGGAGTATATTTCGATTCCTTTATTCCCATCTTTTTCCACGCGTTATCGACTGTGAGCGATGCGGATACGCGATGCATCATGCAGAAGATCACGACAACTTATCTTCAACGGTGTCGGTTTCAGAAATATGCAAGCGGTATCTCCGGAATTTGCGCTCGGACAAAGGTTGCAGGTTACAGGGTATAGTAGTAATAAGTGTTGGGCCAATCAGTACTCGTCACGGTGTAGCTCGGCCGAGTCTCCCCCTCCTTGTAGTGTGATTGTCAGGTACAACATGTCAGACGGAGAGATCAAACCAATCCTACGCAATGCCAAACTTAGTTGCCTGGGCGAGTCTAGATATAAAACGCAGAAATGGCCGGACAGGTCAAGATGAAAGTCACAAAGACCTTTTCATCGTTCTCCTAGGCCGATTTATCGAATCAGAGCCAGCGGAGCTCACGGTAGAGACTACTCACCGGATACGGGGATCACCGAGACCCGAGGATACCTAAAGAGTCGAAATCTCCAAAGATTTCTATACCCCTCTCTTGCACAAACACCGTCTCATCAATATCAAATTCAAAAAATGGCTTCCCCGAAACTCGTTGTCCACCATCTCCAGGTCGGCCAAGGCGAGCGCGTTACATGGCTTCTCGAGGAGCTCAATATTCCCTATGAATTGAAGCTCTATCAACGCTCGCCTCTAATGTCTCCGCCTGAGCTTAAGGCCGTGTATCCTATGGGCGCTTCTCCTGTATTTGAGGATGTCACGGACCCGTCTAATCCCATTAAATTTGCCGAATCAGGTGCCATCAGCGAATACATACTCCGAAAGTACGGCAATGGCCGGCTGGCCCTGGAACCGCAACACAAAAACTTTGCAGATTACTTGTACTGGTTCCATTTTGCGAATGGAACGTTACAACCGACAATCTTCAGGAGGTCCACGACTCGAGCAATGGTCGGCGAGCAGAATCCCATGTACACAAATGCCAATGCTGGCGTCACGAGAGCCCTGGAACACATTAACAATCGTCTACTGGACAACACCTGGCTCGCGGGCGATGATTTTACTGCCGCGGACACTATGAACGTGTGGTGCTTGACGACGATGCGCAAGTTTGAATCGGTTGATCTGAGCGACTACCAGGGTATTCAGGCATGGCTCAAGCGCGTTGGCGAGCGTGAGGCATATAGACGCGCCATGACCAAGACCGACCCGGATTTGAACCTGGAGGAGAATCTCAGTGCCAAAGGGCCGCAGCTTTTCGAGGCATGGGCCAAGGCTATGGGATTGAAGGCGTGAGTGTGGTGTGCAGCCTTGAAGATATGCGGCTGATGGCTTCAGAGGACGGCAGAAGCTTTGAGCGGGAAGTAGGGTAGATGTATATATGTTCTCTCTGCTCAGGAGTCTCACAAGATATATCAACGCTCAATTATAGTATTATGGTTTGTGCAGTATCGGTGTTGCACGTGAGCTCGAGAGATGACATCAAGCTAGGGGCCATCGGAATCCGCCGGCAACGTAGGATCCTCCCGGGTCCACTTGGAAGCGAGCATTCAGGTACAACACGCCATGTCTTCGACCTCATCACAACCACCTGATCCGTCACACCACTGATCCCGATGCAGGTACGCGTCGCATTGTGATCTGGATGGCCTCATTGTTGCCAGAGTTAGGCAATGCAGCATGAGCGTGACCTGAGGCGATCGGACACGCCATGGCGAGCGGGGTTTCTACCAAACGGGTAGTGGTACTATGAGATCACATAAAGCTTGATGACCCCTCACGAGAGCACCTCCGCATCTCGTAGCTTCCAGCAGTATACATAGCTCCAAGTCCTCTTATAATCACTCAATTCACCTCTCTGAACTCTCCAACTACTCTTACAACTCCTTCTCCAGCTCCACCTAAAGCTCCACCTACACCTCCTCATCATGGCAGCAGCAAAATACTCCCGCCGTCCCAGCTACCTGGAAGGCCCATTGTCTCCCTCAATCATTCCCGATCTGGCTATCCTGCCTCAACCCCTCCCTGCCAACACGGTCTCGTGTGGACAGTTGGTCTCCAAGACATCCAAGCATACACCCAAAACACTAGAAGACCGTGACTACGACGATGTAGGCACACGATGGTAGGTGTTGTTTCCTTGTGCAACATGGAGAATGTGTCCTGACCCCGCTTAGGTACAAAGATGTAATCTTCTTCAACTCGGAGAACGGTCACTTCGTTGAGAGCTTTGGTGGCACCCACCTGGTACAGAAGCCGCTTGACAAGGGCACCGAAGCTGGCACCATCGAGGCGGAGGAGCAAAGTGTGCGAATGCTGAAAGATGCAGAAGCTGCTCTGAAGAAGGTCTGGCAGGACGAAGAAGCAAGAAAGTGGATCAAGGAGCAAGACGAAGCCGGCTTTGTAGTCGCTCATCGACAGGTTGCCAACGCGAGCTATAGGCGTGCTAGGCTCGTCGATGTTGGCAACAACAACTGGGAAGTCGTGCGTGAGGTAGGCGGCGAGGACGCCTCAGGCAAGCGGAGGGACTCGGGCCTACCTATCGATACCAATAGCAAGTGGGACGTTGTGGGCGTTGTCGTCAGGAAGATCGTCGTAGATGGTGACCATGTCAAGCTTGGCGAGGAAATGGGTGCTCAGTACTGCAGCTGAGCACATGGTGCATGGATCCTTAGACACCACGCCGTTCAATTGACAGCCCTTTGGCTGCTGTATCGGCGCACTCTACTCTTTTTACATCATTTTAGCGGGTTAAATTCAATAATATGGAAATGATAATTCACATCCAAAGTTTTCCATGAATGTGATAGCTTCTGGTGATTGTCAAAGAACTTCGACGTGGTGCATTAACCTGTTTTGTTTTCCAAGTCTCAGAATTACTGGGACACCTGCCATAACTAGGTGGGTTTTCAAAATCGTGTGGTGATCAATGCACCTGTACTTGGACTACTAATGTAACGCTGAAGTTGTACTCTCTACTACTACATCCCAATCCGTCCGCCAATTCCCTACCATACAGTCACGAACCTGCGAAGAGAGGACATCTGCTTTCAAACTTATACGATATGTTTTGCGTATATTGCCAATACACTGTTCAGAAAGAAGCAATAAAAATCCCTGCGCTTTCGTCCTGCACACAGCACAAACGCGGGAAGTACCTTTGTTTACCCTAGCGCCTCACTATGCAGCAACCTCTTTAACGACCACAACGCACGGCTACCTGAAACACTCGTGAAAGAAAAAACTATCACTCTTTCGGATACTCACCCACTCGACATACACAGAGAACACGGGGAACATACGGAAAGTACCGGCAAAGACTACCTGCCTTCACTTTCACCGTAACTTCCTTAAACAGCAACAAAACATGTCAACACACGCCTATATAACACCGCCCCTTCCCCGCCCTGTCCCGTTTCTTCACCGCGAAGAACAGCCCTTTCAAATCTACCTACACGTATATACACTCTTTCAACCCTCAAAAAAATGCACTTCCTAAAACTCCTTCTCAGCACCCTTTTCGCCGCCGGCATGGCCGTGGCTTCTCCTGCCCCTATGCCCTTGGCCGAATCCTTCGAGCCACCCTGGCCGGCCACAGGCCCGCTTTCGGGATCGCTACCCAAGAACATGGCGAAAATCTGGGTCTTTGACGATATGAGGTGCGATGATAGCGGTGGGCGCACCTACATGGTGAATGTCATGCCGGGTCAGGATCGGTGCTTGGCGTTTACGAATGTGGGGTCGATTTTCTCGTGGTTCAAGTCGGATATTGGGTGAGTTTTTTAACTTGTGTTTATCTTTATCGAAGGGGGACGGGGCTAACAGTGATGCTTAGCAAATGCGAAGTCAGCGTGCACAGCGGAAGCGACTGCAAGGGTTGGAAGTGGACGACGCGCAACAAGGCGTGTAACTCTGGGCATTTCGCTTCGGTTCGAGTCAAGTGTCCCAAGGCGTAAAAGTGTATGGGCGATCCTCCAGCCTGCGAACGTGCGTAGGGGGGAGGACATCAGATTGGGAAAATTGATCAAGGAGGATCTGGCTTTTACTTTTACTTTTACATGACTTGATATCACAGTCTGTATCACACTTATTCCCCCATTAGAAATACCAGAAAACCACACATCTCACACACTCTCACTTTCACTTTCACTTTCCCTCCCTCCCCCCAAAACAAAAAAAACGCCTCTAACACAAAACCTTCAACCCCAATCCCCATCATCTCACCCTCCCTTCCGCAATCAACTCCTCCCTTTCAAGTATTCCACCCAGCATACTTGTAGCACCTCCAACACCGCTGATACTCATCTTTATACGGCAAGGCCAGATACCGTGCTTTAGCGCAGTCATAGCAGACGCTGTTATGGATGCGTTCCATGCACGAAGCGCACGCCATCTTCATGTGCAGGACGTCTGAGCGGCCGGCGCGGTAGCAAAAGTCGATGCAGCGCTGCTGCTCGCCGACGGGGCGGGTGTGGTAGTGTTGCTTGTCTTTGAAGAAGAAGTTGAGGGTGATGAAGAGGGTGAGGGCGAGGAGTTTGAGGAAGTGCATGGTTGGAGCGTGTTGAGGCTTGGTTGGGTTAGTTTGAGATGGGTCCAAGGTGGTGGGAGGGGGGTTACCGTGATGCGAGTGGGTGGAGTGGGCTTCGATGTTTTTTTATGGTATTGACAGCCTTCAATCCTTTGGTGGGGATGGAAGAGTGTTTTTCTGGTGCTTGAGTTTGGAGAAACTGGAGAGAAACACAAGGGGGAGTGAACGGGAATTCTTATAATACATTACGAAGTAGAGACTGGTAGGTATTCGAATCCGATTTGTGGACTGTAGCTGGGAACTGTGACGCAGGAAAGAGGGGAGATGTGACCTCGAGGATGTCATGAGATACGAAGTAAGGGTAGATAAATGCGGCACCAGAGAATCAATCGTTTACGGGGCTTGATGACGCTAGCAAGGGATACTCGAAGCTGTGAACTCTAGACTGTGAGCCCTGAAATTACCGGTGTAGGAAATTCAGAGTTCCCTTTTCTCGACTATGTTGAACTGAGATAGGGTTGGATAGGGTGTATCTTGGACAAAGACCCACTCCGTTCCATGGGAAGCACATCAATGACTTAGGTAACAGGGCTCAAAAAGTAATTGGCGCATTGTTTGACGTCTTCAAACTCATTTTGATCATCATTTACATTTCTCATTCACTTAATGAAGATGAAGTCCACATCAGTAGTGAACCCCGATCCAAATAATGCATTCTCTCCACCTTTTTCGGTTAGAGGCAACCCCTCTTCCATCTTTGAAAACTATCAACTCATTCGTCGGAGTCTGATTGTTGTGAAAACTCTGGTACTACCATGTGCGCTATCATAACGCCTAACACCAGGTATAAACAAGTGTGAAAGAAAGGGAGAGCTGAGAAGACGCTGGCAGACTTTTACGAGAGCGTGATGTCACTAGCAGTCCCATCTCCATTCTGCTCCATCTTCACGTCTTCACCATCTCCACCTGCCAGAACCTTGGTCTGTGGACGGTATCCCTCTGGCGGGCCTACACCAGGTGTGCATGCTGCGACATTGCCCTGCTCATCGACAAACTCGAAGTTGTATCGGGAGAGTAGGTGTGGAATAGCTGAGAGTTGGGGTCCGTAGCGAGCGGTGTTGTCGTACAGTTCGAACAAGGGGACGGCGAGGAGCTTCATATTCTTTGGGACGCTGAGAACCTCTGCACATGATTAGCAATCCAATCACTCCAACAAAGGTAGGCAAGACATACTGCTGCGGGGAAGCTGGATGAAGTAGAGCTTCTTGCACTCCTTCGGCCTGGTAACGTGGGCAGGGATGAAGGGGTACATGAAGGTCTCAAAGTTGGGGCGCCACCACTGCGCCAGTGTGTCTCCAACCACCCATTCATCGTTGACACCCTCTCCTGTGAACTGCGTGCCGACCGGTGCAAGGCGTTCGTTCAGCCTCGCCTTGAAACCCTCAATCTCGTCATCTTCAGCGCGGAGGTAATCGCCAGGACTGCCGTATTAGTTAGCATATTTAATGTGTGAAGAATGCCGCAGCAAATACTTACAGTTTAAAGAAGGCGTTTGCAATCTGCAGCATGAGAATATGGGGATGGTTGTGCTCGTGGCAGACCAATATGCCTTCGCAAGTTCGTCGCATGCCGTGTTCCGAGTAGTGCTCTTCGAGGCGCTTCAGCCGCGCAAGGACTGAGGGGTCCTCTTCTGGCTGGCCATCTTTTGTTCCGAAAGTATAATTGCTCAAAGGATACAGACGGATCGTCTTGGGCTGGTTTCCATTAAAGTCCTTGGGAATGACGGGGCTGTCTGTATTAGATGAATGCGGGTATCACATGATGAGGTGGAGACTCACGGGTATGAGCTTTGAGAAGCTTCCTTTACTATTGTTGACATTGTTGTTGTGGTGGTGGTAGAGTGTTGTTGCGATTGATGCAAGTCGCAGCTACTTCGCGACAGTCGAGCCGTCGCGGTGAGCTTGCAGGGATTCGGGCGTCTCGCTAGCACGTGATAGCGCCCCGGCTCTTTCCTTCCTCAGTCACTTTCAACTGCGCATCTCAAGTCTCCAAACTTGCGCAACTCTCTCACCGGGAAAAACAGTCGAACATCCTGATAGCTGTGCTTCGTTTCGATAGTTGAGGCATGTCGCGGTCTGCATTAATTACTGGAGGTAAAGCGAGCCTTGACAAGTCTCACGCTGCTGGCTGACCCCGAGACAAAGCCAGTGGTCTGCTCGGACGTCAAGTACAGCGAGAATTCCTCCTCGATGGCTGGGAGTCGGTTGGCACTGGTTTAAACCGCGTAACTGCACCCAATGTTGTCAAACTCGACATTCGAGACCAGGGAGAGATTGAAAAGGCACTAGACAACACCAAACCCCTTGTTGTGGTCCATTGTGCTGCAAATCGCTTTCCAGACTCATGCACTGCGAACCCTGAAGCAGCAAGAGCGCTCAATGTGGAGTCAAGTCGCGCCTTGGCCCAGGCAACTATAGCTCGAAACATATTCCTCATCTACATATCCACTGATTATGTCTTTCCGGGGCGTCCAGGTGAGGCCCCTTACAAGGTCGACGCCACCCCAAACCCGCCAAATGTGTAAGTCAATCTGGTTGTAGCCTTAATAGAGTTGTCAAAGTTACGCTGACGGTCATTAATAGCTATGGCCAGACCAAGCTAGAAGGTGAAAAAGCTGTTCTTGATGTTGCCACAATGGCCAATGCAAAAAACAAAGTCGTTGTCCTTCGAGTCCCTGTTCTCTATGGAGCCTGTGACGAGCCCAAGGAAAGCGCAGTCAACGTACTCATGTCGCAGCTATGGAACGCTCAGCAGATAGGCGAAGGCGAACCTAAGATCCAAGTCGATGACTACGCACTCCGATACCCTACCAACACTCAGGATGTCGGTAGAGTATGTCGTGACATAGCAAAGCTGTATCTAAATCCCGCCAACGCGTAAGTAGTGAAAATTTCACATACAGTCACCAAGTCATTGCTGACAACCTTAACCAGAACCCGTGAACTTCCCAGTATCCTCCACTTCAGCTCAGAAGACCAGATGACCAAATGGCAAATCTGCCAGACTTTTGCCGACATCATGGGATTACCGCTCGACAACATGGTGTCTTTCAAGCCTGAGGAAGAACCGAAAGACGGTACCATTCGGCCCTACGACTGCCATCTAGATACAAGTGTCCTCCGGGATCTGGGCATCGACGTCTCGACCGTGAACTTTAGGACGTGGTGGTAAGGTTGTATAAAAGCCTTGTACTCGAAACGGCTAACCATATTGCAGGAGACGCGAAGTCGGGGCATTCCACTAACACAGCAAGCTTCGTCTCAGTTACAACAACTGCACTTTACATTGATATCTCGATAAACTGCTCATCAGATATATTCTAAGATCCCGTATACATCAATCCCGTGTACTATCGCAAGGCTGTCTGCCTCAAATGCCAAGGCCACAGACAACACCGGGGATCGTCACACCCGTTGCCAGCAAAGCCACCCGCACCTGCATAGTTACTTGAAAAAGGAAAGCATGTATCCACTTGCCGTTGCGTTGCTGCAATCGTATTGGACAGTGGACAGATAACGTTAATTGCTGTGTTCCCAGCGGTATCGTTCTAGGCTACATGAGGAACGTTGTCGCTAAACCATTGGTCCACATGCTTTACTGCGCCGCAGTAGACGCCTCGAGATTTGGGGGCGCTTATGCTGCGATGAGCTGCGAATAAGTACCTATCGTGTCAACATGTAGAATGTATCAATTCAACTCCCGGGATCTTGTTGTACGATTTCTCTGTTGTGTTTTTTTCCTTGCATTGGTCGTTGCTGTTTTTTTCTCGTTTTTTTCCTTTTCATCATGGATGTTAGTGCTACATCCGTGGCGCAACTAAGCGTCGCCGACACTACTACTCGACCAAAGAAATCGGGTGCTTTGGTATCAATATTTTCAAGAGGCAGTTCAGAAGATCAGTGTACGTCGTTATTCACTATCTATAGCATCAAGAGCAGGTATTAACAAAAGCACAGCGCTCAAACGATGGAAACCAGCTGCACTCCGCGCACCAGTACTCATCCTAACCATACTAATATGCTGGTCTTTAATCGCCGTAGTCCAAATACTACTGACCCGGAGTCAGCAAAACCAAGGCATAATCTTCGCACCGAGAATCAGCGATTTACCCTTGAGCCGGACATTTCTATACTTGTACTTTCCAACTATCGTCGCTGTAATATTCAGCATGTACTGGGCCTGGATAGACCTGGAGACCAAACGCATGGAGCCGTACTACCAGCTCAGTAAGGAAAACGGTGCGCTGGGCAAAGACTCGATACTGCTCAAGTACCCTTTCGACTTCTTGCCCTTGGTCCCAATCAAAGCGGCTAGAGACAGGCATTGGCCTGTTTTCTGGGCTTCCTTCGCAGTTGTTCTGGTGGCCTGGGGATTAGTGCCTACGCAAGCTGGTATCTTCTCTACACGATCGATTACACGCAATGTCACCATGCCGTTTGACCGCTCAACGGCGTTTGTACCTGCTAGCGATCAGGCGTCGACGCTGACGCTGCGCTTTGCTCAGTCGGCATATGACATTGCGGTGTTGAATGAGACGCTTACTCAGTATATGAGCCGGAATTATACGCTCGCTCCGTTCCGACCTACATCTGCTTCGAAACCCGATAATAAAACTGTGCCGTATGGGAATTGGACGGCGCCGACGACAATGTATAGTTTGGATTTATACTGCGAGCCTGCCGTTATGAGCACTGAGCCGCTTAGTACTGGTGTCATTGCCAACAGCTCTAATGGATGTTCTTTCAACCTGGGCCTAACTGGAAACCTTACCGAAGGCTTGAACAAGGTATATGGTGATAACACCGTATTGCGTAACAAAGAGTTTACGGCCATGTTTGTGGGTTATTGGAATCCCTTTGGCTTTGCTGATTACTCTCTGGATCAATACTGTCCGGAGACGAGTAACAGCACTTTCTATGCAGCAATACAGCGCAACAAAGCCAAGAGTACGGATCCAGCTCAGAATGTCACAGCGATTTACTGTTGGCCGACTTACTATCAACAAGATGTAATCGCAACTGTGGATGCGGTCACGTTAGTGCCATCAAAGGTCGATCCTACCGGCGAGAAAAGGCCTCTACAGGATGGTATCTTCAACACCACCCTCTTGGAAGAGCTGATGGACAGCATCTCGATTGCGCAAGAAGTAAGAGGCGATCTACTACCAACCAAGGCCATGCCTGAATACTTCGATCCTATTGCACGAACGAACTTAAGTTTGAGTACTGGTCCCAATGGTGCTGGATTGGTACAGCCAATGGTGGGTCTAGCACTGAGCGTCAGCAATCGCCCTTTAGAAGAATACCTAGACTGGAAAGTTTTGGCCAAATCTTACGCCGATGGCTATAGACTGCTTTTTGCGCGAGCAATGAGGGAAGTATTGAACCAAGATTTTCGCTCCGTCGAAACCGTTACCGGACGAGTGGTAGACAACACGGAAGCTGTTGTGCTTGAACCAGTGTTTGTATACATTGTGGAGGGGTTTCTTGGTGTACTATCGCTGGCGACGATAGCGTTACTATATCTCTCAATGACCCGCAAAAAGCCTCTTCGCTCGAATCCTAGTACTATCGCTGCAATCATGTCCATGGTTGCTGACAACGAGCCGCTACTGGCCGATATAGAAGGACTGGACTGTTGTAAGGCAGAAGAGATCGAAGAGCACGTGGGCCAAAAGCGATACAAGCTTGTTGATGATGGGACCTCTGCCGGGTAAGTTTTGAGCAGGATGAGAAGACAGGAAATTTGTGCTAAAATCATAGACAGTATCGTCGAGCTTGGTCGTTCACCTGAACTTCTCAATGGCAACAATCAATGGCCGCTTCCAACACAGCCACGTAATACACTGACCGACATCGCGAAGCCCGTCAGACCTACAGAATTCAGTTTCTGGGTAGCTGGTCTGCTCGTCACTACCTTTTTAGCATTAAGCATTTTCCTCGCTATAATATTTGCCAAGGCTCGATTGCAAGGTAGGATTTATTGTCGCTCAACCGGAAGTATATGGAATCGCTGACCGAAGCAGGCCTGCCCCTCCCTTCATCCAACACGATTGTACAGAATTTGTTGGAGAACTACATACCTACAGCCATAGCCACGCTCATCGAACCAGTATGGCTTTTGTTCAACCGCTTGCTCTGCATGCTACAGCCGATCGAAGAACTCCAAGGCTGCAACGCGCGTGCGAAAAGGTCGATCGATCTTGACTACAGCTCTCTTCCACCACAGCTAGTCGTCTTCAAGGCCTTTAAATCAAAACACTTCGTCCTCGCCGCAGTGTGTACAATGGCATTGTTAGCCAATCTGCTAGCCGTCAGTCTTGCTGGCCTCTTCAACCAAAGCACTATCGATATGAAACATGTCATTTCTACAACTCGCCCGCTTGATTTCAAATTCGTACCAATCAATGGCTCGATTGGTCCTTTGGATGGTCGAAATTTCGGCGATTTGCAAGCATCTGGTGCTTATCAGGGAGGTAACGGAGAAGATCAGTTCTACGTTGCAGACTCGCACGTCAGAGAAGGCACAGCGTTACCTCCGTGGATTGATGAGACGATGTTTTATTTGCCATTCATACCAGAAGGTGAGCAGTCACCAAAAGACAAAGTGGAAGCAAAAACTAGAGCTATTGGCGCAAAGCTCGAATGCCAGAATCTAGACTTTAATGAGCAGTTCCAAGCTGGTCTAGTCAGCGATCCAACTATGAGTGGGGTTGTTTCGCCATCGATAAATATCACAGTCACTTCTTCTACCGGAAAACCTGTCCGGTGTACCAAGGTGGGCCAACACATGCGCCAGGGCCCAATTTCATCCACGCCAGGCAGCTGCGTTACCGGACAAAGTGCAGCTGAGCTTGTGGCCATTTTGGACCCCTCTGCAAATGCGTCCCAAGCCGATACAGACGTGTGCATGGGGTCAATTGTCATGGGATGGCTTCGAGACCGCGACGGCTCTTGTGGAGAAGTGAAGCCAATGGTGCTGAACAAGCAAAACGCAGCTTTCGTTCATTGTCGACCAAAACTAATGACAGGATTCGCAACTGTTCGAGTCGATACCAGTGGTCGACTACAGCAGAAGGTACAAAATCTGACAGTAGATGATCACGTTCCGATGGAAACCTTCAGCAATGACCCTGTCAATCTCATTGGCCAGTCGAACAGATACATCTTCAAGACCATCAGTGCCGGATGGCACAATGACAGCTTCGCCGACGACTTCATCAATTACTTCATCAGCCATTCAGCCAATAGTAGCCGGTTAGTCGATCCCAGGCAAGGCCCACCCACATTTGGGGACATAGAGGGTCCCTTGAACAAAGCGTATTCCCTTCTATTTGCAATCTGGATGGAGACCAATAAAGACAAGTTGTTGATGCCCAGCCCAAGCCAGAACACACTGGCACCAGAAGGCTGGCGCATAGAGCCGGAAACGCGCCTCTTCGTCTCGATGCCAATGTTTGTCATTTCCGAGGTCATTTTGTGTATTTACGTTATTGTTGCAGTCATGGTGTACATGCGTCGACCTGGTCGATATCTCGCACGGTTACCTACATCGATCGCTTCTTTGATTGCCTTGTTCGCCGCTAGTGCAGCTGTTCAAGACATGCGAGGGACGTCGTACTTGGATAAAAGGGGCCGAGCTCGACACCTCGAGGAAGTGGACGCGAGGTACGGATATGGGAGTTTTATTGGTGGTGGTGACGGGAGAGTTCATATCGGCATTGAGAAAACACCGTTTGTGAGAGTCAGGTCGAAAGCCACTTGGTTTGATAAAAATGTTGCTTCTTGGCGACGGGGCTCAACCAGTTGATGCTTAATTTAGAGGCCTGAATTGATCAGCAAAATAAGCCAGATTTCATCTTGTTTGTATTTCTTTTCCTGTGTTCAACATCTTCCGTGTTTTTGAAACACTACTATGCTGACGTAGCCATGCTTTTGTGTGCAGTGTTTCTAAAGTATCAGTCCCGAGCGCCTGGGGAAACTGGGGCTAAACGGAGAACTCTTTCCGCACCAATGGAAATTACTCGAAGCAGTCTTGAGAATAGCACCATTGACTAGTCACTGACCTCGTCTAAAGGGGCTGAGAAGGAGCATGCACACTGATGTCCACAAGTCGGATGCGGGACATGTACTAATGTGCTAAATCTTCAAACAAGTTGTAGCTAAGTATGCTGTTCGATACGGGGTAAAAGCTAAGAGCGGATGTTTGCACACATTGAGACGATGAGCGGCAATGCCAATTTCCGTGGAAGATCACATTCCGGGGCGATGTGACAAGGCCAACGGCAGCGGAAGTGCAACATTGCCGAAAGGCCAAAGGGAAGTAAAGTGGCGCCTTGAAAAGTCTGAATCAGCAGTGAACTTGCAGTGTTTTCACAGTAGTGAAGATAGCTGCCATTTGCCGAAGTTTGCCTACCGGAGGCCTCGGCCACTTCAGGTTATATCCCTGTGTTGATTCTGACGAGCTTCTGGAATCCCGTCAAACCTACCAAAGGGGGTAGTGGAATGCTTAGCTGTTGTGCTTGAAAGCTTTTGTCTACTCCTGCATGCTGTAGGTCAAGACTAAGAATGCGGCTGGTTGTCGTTCGGTGGCTATGACCCAACAAACGCCTGTCGAAGGGATGGGAGGGCGACTAATGGCGTGGGAAGGTTCTGGTGGATAGTGCGGTGGCCATGGCTCTAGTCGAGGTTCTAAGCTTTGTTGGCATCGTCATTGTCGTCGTCGTCTTTGGTGATGTCGGCTATGGGTCGATTGGCCAGTGGGCGTTGTTCGCGGAGCATCCGAAACCAAGCTTCATAGGCCACGTCTAGTCCCCACTGATCAACTTGGGGAGACAGGCAATGTGTAATTGTTTGCTAGTCATTCCCGTGCGAGTTCCTTGGGCGCGAGCGATATAGTGAAACGAGCTGTAGTTGATGAATGCCCAATCATGGGCAGGGAGGGGCGACGATTGGCAGGCGATGGCACACCTTTCTAGAGCAAGCAGGTGACGAGTGGCGGGCAGCGAGAGAAGCGAGGCCATAGGGTCGCGGCCGCCGGGCCACATGACCCAGGCTACCACGAGGTTACAGCCCAGTGGCCAGCGGCCAGCGGCCACAGCCACACAGCCGGTACTCAGATCGCAATCCTTGCGCTCGCCTATGCCGACGTCAGGCAAGTGGACACGATGTGGCGCAGCTGTGCTCGCACGAAGGCCGTGTCAGTCGCATTTCGCCGACAGACCAGATTAGCAACCTACTCACTGCGTACCTTGCACAGATCTCCACGCCGTTGCCGCTGCCAACAGTCACGGCATAGGAGGCTTAGCTGTGGCGAGCCAAAAAAAGACCCTGGCGCATGACGGGGTATACCAGGGATGTTATGCATGAAGTTTGTATGTCATTGATGGGGTCTGTTGGCGGGCGAGGCCTGCAATCAAAGGGAAAAGGTCGTCGTGGTGCCATGGCAGGCACCGTGGCTGGACGCAAGCAGGCTTGTTTGCGCCCATGGTACACTCACACACACACGCACACACATAGGCGGTTATGAGACGGTGACTAGCGACAGGGAGCCGCCAGTGTGCTACGTGGTTTGCTGGCGGACAGGCAAAGTGTGGGAGAAGAGCGGTCGTGGAGATGAGGCAGTGGACCAATGAGGGGGGCAAGAGCAGGCCTCACAGAGGGTGGATGTCGTTTCAGATTTGGCTAGTGATCGCCGGGCGACGCTAAGGCTAGCTCTGGCGTTATCGATAGGCCACGAATCCTACACGCCCCTGCATAACTTGCAAACCGCAGGTACTGACCTCAAACCTGACCGTGGCCCCCCTGACTAGAGGACAGCACCAACATCTGCCCCTCTGAGCCATACTCCGCTCTTTTTGTTTCAAGGACAATGGCCTTGTTATCACCGCAGAGCCAATCGCGTCGGGTTGGTGCCTGTCACTGGTTGCCGACACTGATGGTTACACCACCTTTCCAGCGCCCACACCCCTCCCGCTAAACCACAGGGGGACACTAACCGAACAGCCATGCTCTTCGTTGCAACAGCCACCCTGCTCCATCGAGTAGCCTATGCTTTTTCACGATGATCCGCCGGCATAGTGCCACCCAGCTGCTAGTGCTGTCGTATGGGACCCTCCTCGGCCGCCACCGCCTGAGGCTAGCGGTGCCCCCATACGACATGATAGTTATATAATAACCCAGGAGCGTTTCGTCTCAACTGTCCTCTCACAAGCAGCTACTACAGCAAACACCAAGACTTCTCTTTCTCCCTTTTGCTTCTTGTTCATCCTGCCTGTGGCAGATCACATTCTTTACAATCACTGCGCGCTGCTGAAGAACCAGATTCGACAATCTACCGCTCTTCTTCATATCAAACTCGCTTCGCTCAGCACATTTCAGATAACCAGAAACCCATTCGTTCCATCGCTCAGCTGGTCTAGCGATTTCCAACAAAGAATAGCCTTTTCTCACACCATTCTTTCAAACATCAACATGTTCTCCAAAGCTACCCTTCTCATGGCGCTTGCCGCCAGCGCCTCCGCCCACATGAGGATGGACAACCCAAAGCCTTTCGCCTTCGACACCCTCAACAGCTCCCCCTTGGCACCAGCCGACTTTCCTTGCAAGCAACGTCCTGGCATGTACGATATCACCGAGATGAACCAGTGGAACGCCGGTGAGACTCAGGTGGTTTCTTTCCTGGGCTCCGCTGTCCACGGCGGTGGTTCGTGCCAGTTTTCCATCACAACCGATCAAGAACCATCTCTTTCTTCTCAATGGAAGGTCATTGAGAGCGTTGTTGGTGGTTGCCCATCCAACGTCAGCGGCAACCTGCCAGATAACCCAGATGGCATTGGGGCGGCCACCTTCCCAGTCAAGATGCCAGAAGACATCCCCGATGGCCGTTACACTTTCGCATGGACTTGGCTCAACAAGGTCGGAAACCGCGAGTTCTACATGAACTGTGCTCCCATTCAGGTCGGAAATGGCGCTAGCAAGGCTTCCACTGCCAGTGCTTCTCAGGCTCTCTCGTCTCTACCAGACATGTTCGTTGCCAACTTACCCCCAACCGAGTGCAGCACTGCGGAAGACCAAGACTTTGTCTACCCAGACCCAGGCAAGAACCTCGTCGAGGGCAACGGCGCTGCACTGGGCCACACCCTGACCGGTTCTGGATGTGCTAAGATGAACAAGATGGGTGCTGGTAACGGCGAGATTGGAACCCCCACTGAGCCTGAGGCGTCTCAACCTGCAGGAAACGAGACCCCTGCTGCCAGCTCCCCTGCTGCCAGCTCCCCTGCTGCCAGTTCTCCATTGGCTTCCATTCCTGCCAACAACGGTGGTATCTTCGCTCCTGGTGCCTCTCCAGCTCCTACGCCCACGTCCATTCCCATCGTCTCCAACCCTCAACAACCTGCCCAAACCGCTCAGCCACCCACCCAAACCGCTCCCCAGGCGCCTGCCCTCAGCTCTGCCCCAGAGACTCCCGAAAACGGCACAAACACACCCTCTGGCAATGCTGACTGCACTCCCTGCGACAACGATGGTGCAGTCGTCTGCATTGGCACCAGCCAGTTCGGTCTCTGCAACCACGGATGTGCGGTTGCTCAGCCCCTGGCAAACGGCATGTCTTGCACTGGTGGCGCTGTCGTTGCCTCGGTCAAGAAGCGATCTCTCCACTTCCCTCGCGCTCATCTTCACCGCCGCCACGGAGCCTCTCACCTCATCTAAGCGTCACGGCTCATGCGCCTATCAGGCGCGCAAGACGTTCCTATATACCCAATTCAGCCGTTGGCTACGAAACGCATCTTTTGGAGTTGGGAAATACGGACAGGGACATGTACGGCATGGTATGGATTGGGAGGGCTTTTGGGTCTTGGTGTTCATATCTCCAGTCACATGCAGCAGACACCACTTGGGTCTTGCTCGTGACATTTCTTCTTCTTTGTGGTCTACTTTTTTTTACGTTCTTTCTTTCATGCTCAGCTCTTGACCCGGCTGACATGCCTTGTTTTTTTTTTCTTTATCGACGAAAGAGAAGTCTTGTGCTAGGTCTCGTGACTACGAGCGCTGCATACACACTATCTGTTGTACAACACTCAATGATAACGCTCATTTTTACTCAAACCCCATTCTCTTCATTTGTGACTGTGATGCTGAGTCTACTGTGCCTGTTTCGTTGGTGTTTCGTCGGAAACTTAACAGTTGTGAGTAAGAAGCAAGGGTGGATGCGAAGCGTTCCTTGTCAGGCCAGGCAGGATCTAATGTAACTGCCTGATGTGACAGACTTGTCTGGCTGGAGCGGAGTATCACATTCCGCCATGCTGCCTTACTCGCGAGGCGTGCATTGCTGCATCTCCTATTCTTTGGTACTACACATCTGCTTGCTACAAGCAAAACCTCGAGCCTATTCACCGGATTATGACGTTAGTCGGCTGCTGATTGGCCCTCCCCTCAGTGAACAGACAGCCCAACCTGACTTGCCCTCTGCATTTCCACCCTCGACCCTACCAAAGCCCCTCGCCACATCGCACACACGAGAGCACGCGACGAGACAAAGTGCGACGCCCTGAACAGATACGGCCGTTTGAGGGATTATCTCGTGGTGTCGGCCCAAGGTGTTAGGAGGAGCGAGTCTCGGCCTTCGTTTCGCACGTTGCCGCCACTTGAGCTTAGGAGGTCATTGCGCTCGCCCCACTACCTCGTTACCCTCACCTCCACCGTCTCCTGGCGCTCACCCTCTACGGCGTACAGCACAGACCGCCCAACATGGAAAACCAGCAAGATGTCGACCAGACAAAGTACATCGACAATGCCATCCGCGCCGTGCGGGAGAAGAAGCCTCTTCCCGAGATTGACTTTACCCTCCATACCATGGAAGATGGCAGCCAAGTAAGCACTCAGGAACGTGTCTGCAAAGGTATGCCCGTTTCACAGCTTTTGCCTAGCTTGTGTGCCTGTTTCTGTCATTTCTGCTGCACGAAACAGCCCGAATAATGTGCTAACGGCGTTGTGCCTACCAGACGTGCAAGCACCCGCCTTCCACCCGCCCACCGACGAGCAATTCTTCTCACCGCAAGATCGCACCAAGCCCAATATCCAGTTCCTCAAGCAGCACTTTTACCGTGAAGGTCGCTTGACCGAACAGCAGGCGCTATGGATTATAAAGAAGGGCACAGAGATTCTAAAGTCGGAGCCCAACATGTTGGAAATGGACGCTCCCATCACTGTCTGTGGTGATGTCCACGGCCAATACTACGATCTCATGAAGCTCTTCGAGGTCGGTGGTGACCCAGCGGAGACGCGCTACTTGTTCTTGGGCGACTACGTTGATCGTGGATACTTCAGTATAGAGGTGAGACAGCCACAACTGCGAGGCTTGCCACGTGCAATTCGCTGACAAGCACAGTGTGTCCTATACCTATGGTCCCTCAAGATTTGGTACCCCAACACCCTTTGGCTCCTCCGAGGAAATCACGAGTGCCGTCACTTGACCGATTACTTCACCTTTAAGCTCGAATGCAAGCACAAGTACTCCGAAGCCGTATACGAAGCATGCATGGACTCTTTCTGCGCATTGCCTTTGGCCGCAGTCATGAACAAGCAGTTTTTGTGTATACACGGTGGATTGAGCCCTGAACTTCACACCTTGGACGACCTGAAGAGCGTATGTGTTACTTTCAACGCCTCTAGCGCCGTAGCTGACTGTCATAGATTGACCGCTTCCGGGAGCCGCCAACGCATGGTCTCATGTGCGATATTTTGTGGGCTGACCCACTCGAGGAATTTGGCCAAGAGAAGACCAACGACTTCTTTGTTCACAACCACGTTCGTGGATGTTCATACTTCTTCTCGTACCCTGCGGCATGCGCTTTCCTCGAGAAGAACAACCTTTTGTCTATTATCCGTGCACACGAGGCCCAGGATGCTGGTTACCGAATGTACAGGAAGACACGGACGACTGGTTTCCCCAGTGTCATGACAATCTTCAGCGCACCCAACTACCTGGATGTGTACAACAACAAAGCCGCCGTGCTCAAGTATGAGAACAATGTCATGAACATTCGGCAATTTAGTAGGTTCATTTTACTCAGTAGAGGGCGATAAGACTAACACTCCCAGACTGCACACCTCACCCGTACTGGTTGCCCAATTTCATGGACGTCTTCACATGGTCATTGCCATTCGTTGGAGAGAAGAGTATGTGCAGCAGATCGAATTTTTGATTATCTATACTAACACTTTTTTAGTCACTGACATGCTTATTGCCATCTTGAACACTTGCTCCAAGGAGGAACTCGAGGAGGAGACACCCAGCTCGCTGGCTTCTGGACCATCTTCGCCTCCTCTTTCGAGTCTGGACCCCGATTCGACCGAATTCAAGCGCCGTGCCATCAAGAACAAGATTCTGGCCATTGGTCGCCTCTCTCGCGTATTCCAAGTGTTGCGCGAGGAGTCTGAGCGTGTTACAGAGCTGAAGACAGCTTCAGGCGGCCGACTCCCAGCTGGTACTCTGATGCTTGGCGCAGAAGGAATTAAGCAAGCAATTCACAGCTTTGAGGATGCACGCAAGGTCGATCTGCAGAACGAGAGACTGCCACCAAGCCACGAAGAAGTACGGAAATCCCAAGAGGTCAGCCGAGAGCAAGCTCTTGAGAAGGCGACCAAGGAGGCCGAAAATGACCAGGGCCTGGCGACTGTGGCAAGGCGCATCAGCATGTAAGTATTGCTAGATGGTGGTGCAACATTGTACGGTGACTAATTTGTACAGGTCATCTGGATCCAGTCGCAACCGAAAGAGCTAGGCGCGATTTACGCGTTCGCGATCGGAGAGCGAAGCCGAGAGACGAGTCATGACATAACATGCTGTTTTGGTTGTTGATTTCGGTATTGGCGGGCTACCAAATGTCATCAGTATACCATTCAGGCGTAGATAACGTTAAAGGCGCCACCCTACAATGGGTGGTAATAATTTGCTGGCCGACTGCTGCGGCTTCATTGAGCCGACTCCTCGTTGAAACACAGTCAATTCACGTGCCTAATGTAACAGTGATTTTGTTGTATGATGTGGTGAGGGTGGATGAGATGGATGGTGATGGCTAGCGCACGTGCGCGGGCCGAAGCTAGCTTTGCCGACCTACGTCAATTGCAGTATTGCAGAGGATGATAGTAATGCTCAACTTCAAGCCCGATGCCTCCATGGGTGGCCTCAGTGCCGCGACTGACCATCTTTCGCAAGACAGGGTCGATTGATCGGATTCCGCTTGCGCTCCGCTGTCGTAATGTCCCAAAGTCGCCATGTGCAAGCCTCCGCGCCCGCTCCGCATCGACGCATGTCTCGCCGACTGCGATAAATCTGCGCCCCAACGTCCCGCCACGCAACCAGGAGCTATACGACGCCCTATCCGCTCTCAGTGGAGCTGCAGAGACACACGTCAACATTAGTAGATTACAGCTGGCATTGCGGGGCCTGGCCGCCCAAGATGCAGTCACAAGAGTCGCTGGTACGGTGCACACGCAATTGAGTGCGAGCGGCGTAGGCGCTGACAGTGGCACACAGTCCTTGGCCTGAATAGCCAATTAAGCGCACAGCAATTGGCACGGCTGTTGCTTGCTGACCCATTGGCCGCCGAAGGGCAATGGGAAAAGGAGCTGGCCAAGGCAGGCGTCGGCAGTGAGAATGCTGTGTTGCTAAAGTGGGTGCCCTCAGGTCGCTGCAATGAGGGCGCAACCGCTGACATATCTGCACAGGTACGGCACCGACCCCGACGACGTTACGCCATCACCACTGTATAGAGTTCTCGCCGTTCCGTCGCGCGTTCTCCAATCGCACAATATAGAGGTCCTTGTTTCGACGGTAAACGTCAATGTCGACAAATCCGTCCCTCACGTGTCAACAGAGAGCTCCATCGAGTCGTTACTGGTCCCCAAACTCCAGGCTACTTCTGCCAGAGGATTGCCTGTCCCATATCCGGTGCACAAGACGTTAATATTAGGAGTGGGACTCGACAGTGCTATATCCTATGGAAGATTTTCCGCCGACGGTCTTGATGAGATGCAGGATATGGTGAAGTTGGCTATTGATTTGCCAGTGCCATCGTCCGATTCAAGTTCAGATCCTAACACTGAAACTGCCGCTATCAACATTGCAGTTGGGGCCAAAGGACTCGACAGCTTCCGAGAGTCTATCAAAAATGCAACTGTCTACGAGCGAGCTTGGTTCCAAAGTGGTCTGCCAACACTATCTCAATGGCTGGTTCGGGATCTCCAACCATCCAATGGCATTAAGCCTCCACTGAGGACGCTCATCGTTTCTGTTGCAGACGGTGTAGAAGCAAGTGTTGCGAAAGCAGACGCCGCTCAGCTGCAGAAACTTGCAACTGTCCAAACTGACGACGAGGTCACTGCATCCATTCTTGGCCATCTCGAGACTTGGGCTGAGAAGTCACACGCCGAGCTCCGCGACCAGCTCGACGAAGCTTTTGTAGCAAAGAACTGGCACAAGCTGGCCTGGTGGAAGTTGCTTTGGCGTGTCGACGACGTCACAATGATCAGCTCAGAGATTCTGGAACGACGTTGGCTTGTCTCTGCCGAGAAAAACAGTGTCTATCTTGCTGGTCGCATGAATCAAGCCGGCTTTCCTGACGAGATTCAACGTCCTATTGCATCCAGCATACCCGAGGCCACAACTCAAGACACGGCGCCTACAGCAGAAAACCAACGAATGGACCTCTCGACCAACGTTCGCAAACCCATGCCTTGGCACGAGCAAATATCCAACGCCCGCACCGAACTCATCAACGACACCGTTCCTCCCCTGCAAGCCCTTGCCCAACGCCTCCTCCTGCAAACCTTTAGCACAACCTCCATCTCCTCGGCCGCATCCGCCCTCCTCTACGTCTCCATGTCTTCCTTCTCCGTCTTTGAAGCCTCGGCCGTTGCAGCCCTCGGCCTCACCTTTTCGCTGCGCCGCATGCAGAAGTTATGGGAGGGCGCCCGTGAGACGTGGCAAGCTACCGTCAGGGAAGAAGGCAGACGGACGCTCAAGAGCACGGAAGAAGGCGTGAGGTTCGTTATTGAGAATGCGGAGAAGAAGGAGGTGGTTGAGGAGGAAGATGTGCGGGAGAGGAGGGCCGCGAGGGAGGCGGTGAGGAGGGTGCGTGAGGTGTTGGAGAAGATGGGTGGCGGGGTGGACAAGGGAAAGGGAGAGGGTGTATGATAGTTGTAACATAGAATTCATATGCTTGAACTGCTCGTATGATGTTATTGATACGTTCTTTTTTTTCGTGTGGTGATATATATATATATATATATATATATATGCAGTATCTGGCTCAAAACTTGATGAAATGCAGTGCAGTGTTGTGGACAGTAGATGAATGTACTTAACGTGCTGGTGTTGAGTAGAATTGAAAGAGTCAATTGCGTGACGCGAGTAGGGAAAGAGGGCGTGTATGATATACGTACTCTTAATATTGCATACACTGTATCTACCTACATAGTATAAATAATAAGAGTCGAGTAGATATGAAGATAGGAGGACAGGTGCCGGGGGAGGGGGAGGTAGTCAAGTGTAAGTCTCGGGGTTAAGACTATTGTTATGAGCTATAACTGTGGTCGAAAGCCAGTAGTATGCCGAGTTTCGAGTTTGGAACAACAGTCAAGGAAGATGCCGTGCACCGCGATTTATATTCATGCTAAAGTCTTGGTCAACAGTATATAATGCAATATAAGCTAGGCTGACTTTTCACAGGCGACATGGACAAAGTTGTTACAAAATGAGTGGAATTGGCTAGAATAAACAACAAAACGATTGCAAGACACTGTAATGACTGTCCCCCAAGATACATATCAATTTGTCCAGCTTTTCGGATATCAACACCCTACCTCAGCAACAGCACTTAAAACTCCTCTCCGAGCCTGGGCTTGCCGCCCTTCCAGTCATCCCTCTCGTAGTACCGGAAGACAAGATCGTATCCGTCCAAGTCATGGACGATACGATCAACGCGACGGTAGCCGGGAATCACCTCCATTCTCTTGCCCTTGTCGGCATTCTTCAAGGGCAGCTCATCGGCAGTAGGCTTGGCCTCGAAAAGAGTGACGCTGAACCTGCCAGGCTTGAAGATACCGACAACATGCTCGACAATGTCGGCAGTCTCGCGACCACTCTGACGAGCAGGCACGTTGGTCTCAAAGGAAGCATAAGAGCATTGAGGCTCAGGAGTGACGTGCACAGTAAAGTAGTGCGTAGCGTCAGAGCCCTTCTTGGAACCATTGGGAGCACCGCCAGGAGCAGGGACGACACCATTAGCAGAGAAACCGCATGGCGTGAACAGATAGGCATCGATACGGGCATCGGGATACTTGGTGGTAGGATAGACGTCGGCTAGACCGCAGTGTTCGGAAACGACCGTACCAAGCGTGTGGCCTTCGGTGGTCAGCTCCTCAGGGAAGGTAAGTTCCTCGTCCGAGTTGAAGCCAGAGTGGTCAGAAGATGTCTGCTCGAAAACGTCGAAGCCATCATCTGAGGTGTGGGTGTTCGCAGCTGAGTTAAGGACAGTAGAGCCACCCAGACTCTCGGTGTGGCCGTTCTCTTCCGAAATGGTACCCAGGGATTGGATGGCGTTTTTGCGAGCCTCACGGACTCTCTGGAGGTAGCGACCTTCCGCAACCGCACTTGCGTCCTCTAGATAGAACTGACGGGCGTTCTTCTCGTCGAGGTCGGTCATCAGAACCTCCAGCGTCTCATCCTCCTCCTCGTCGGTGGCCTGCTCGCGCAAGAGGCGCTGAGGGTGGCTCACAAATTTGGTCTCAGTGTCTGGCTCCGACCTCTCCTCGCCTGGGCTGGGAGGGGGAGTGAGGCTGGTGTCGGGGCCTGTGATGTAGAGATACCAGTGCTCACCGTTCATCTTGCCAATCATGTAGGCGCTGCCGCCCTTGAAGCGGTCGTCAAGGTAGCGGACTTCGTCACGCCAGCTGCGGTGAGGCCCGCGCTGCTGGTCGGGGTAGAGGAAGTTCTTCCTGCTGTAGAAAACGCGGTATGGCGTAGCAGCTGGAGCGACGCCCGACGCCTTGGGGGCGACATAGGGGAAACCGGCATTAGCAGCGATTTCCAGCATACGGGTCAAGCCCCAGAGAAGAGTCGTAGTGCCGCAGGTCTTGAGTACAACCTTGTGGGGGAAGACGAACATGCTCGACTCAGAGAGAAGATAGGCATCGACATGCTCAGATTCAATGACGGAGAGAACCTTGCAGTTGACCAGATCGAGCATGTCCTTCCATACTTCGGCCGACACCTTCTTCAAGCCGAGGGGGCCGGCCTGGCCAGGCAACTCAGTAGCAGATGGGCTGAACCATACTTCGAGGAGCTTCTCGGGACCTTCGAATGAGTTTGTGGAATCAAGGTCGATGGTGGCCTCCTTGTTGATGGTCAAGTGAGGGGTGCCAATGTGCGACGAAGGCGAGGCAGTGTAGTGCTGCGGGATCTCGGTAGCGACCATTTCTTTTTACTGTGCGACTGGCACGGGCTCGGAATTTATCTTGCTGGGAAGCGGTTTGCTGGTGTTGAATAGCGCAAACTGGAAGGGCAGGCTAGCTGTGAAGCTATGTGCAGCACAACCTCGCTCAGACAAGCAATGCGGTGCTCGCCTGAGAAGAATTGGCCCACGGGTCGTGAGGGTTAGGCGAGGCTGGCGTGTGCCAGCAGCAGTGGACGTGGAAGTGTAGGAGCGACCGTAGTCGATGTTAGGGAGGGCGCGCGTTGAGGGGGATAAACGAGGCCTTTCGCCGGGAAATGGTGGCAGCCGATGTGGTCCTCGCAATACCAGATTCCGATACCCTGGGCAAGTATCGGGTCCAGCAGACGAGGAGATCTGCTTCAGAGACTAAGAAAGGTGGATAGTGGGGTGGAAGTGGGTGGTGTAGTTGGTGTTATCGAGGCCTGTGGGCAGAGAGGTCAGCGCCGTGTCCGTAGGTGAATATTGTATTTACACAGAACTGTTTGTGGAGGAGGTACAACTCACTTCGCAGGCTTGGACAGAAAGCGTACCAGGTCCTCGCGACGCATAGAATAGCCGAAGCAGGCGACGACAGACGGGCTGCTGGCTACAAAGGCCTATGCAACAGCAGAAGCTGGAGAAAACAGCGCGTCTGCCAGCGTGACGACGGTGCTTTGATAGGGGCGTAGAGCACAGAGATCAAGCAGTGGGCGACCACAACGTTGGGCGCTGACGACCGACTGTGAGCAATCAGCCGCCAAACTTTTGCAATCAAAAGTGCGGGGAGGCGGGTGCGGGCGCAGATGGGAAAGAGAAAGAATAAAGCCGTGTGTGAGTAGGCAGAGGGAGAGGGAGAAGCAGGAATATACGTACAGCGGGCGGTATTGTGGAGTGGGCTGAGGAAGCGAATTTGTGCGTGGCAGCAGTTGTTGGGGCGACGTTGTGGAAGCTTTGGGCCTTCACGCGACAGGCATTTTTTGACGAGTGCGGTGTTTTTGCAGCGAGACGTCACCGCCCATTCCAAAGTGCAAGTGGCTGGAGCGTTCGCGCCAACCAGCCGCTTGGGGCCCGACGCTGCCTAAACTTAGCCAGGCGACGTCATCGTTTTCAGGTACACGGAGAGCGCTCGCTTTTCTGCTTTACCATCATTTCCTTACTCGATTTATCCCTCATCAATCCATCGAATTGCCATCTGCCCACCTCTCGCGCTCCCCATTACCACCGCCATCATCATCATCTCATCTCGGTTCGCAACAGACGTACTAGCCCAATCTCATGTCATGCCATGTCGCATGCAATAATGCAACAAAACCACCGTCCCCCAGAACATAACCATGCTAAATCCCCATCTCCCCACATCCCCATATCCCCTTGTCCACTATTCGACAAAACCGCCCACCGCCTCTGCTCGACTCTGCTCTGCTCCGCCGCGGTATGATCGGTATCGTCGGCTCCAGGATATGCCAGCCTCTTGTGCCGCAGTGCCACCGCCCTAAATGACCGGCATACTCCCGGCGACCAGGAACACGCATCCCTACACTTACAGACGCCATGTTACCGCTATGCCTTTTGCAGCCCCTCACAGCCTCCACGTTAGTCTTTTCCCAGCTATAGCAAACATACTGCAGCCATCATATACCTATAGCTTCAATCCACACCTCTTACTACCTCACCTACCCCTTCTGGTACTTTGAATATGATCCGTCCCTTCTCCACCATGCTGCTGAAACACTCCCGCAAATCAAGAACTAGCGTGTCGGGCGTCTCGAATCCTGGTAGCATTGCGGATCGTCCGTTGTGTCGCTTGACCCACGACATGTCCCAGAAGCTAGTCCCCCACATCAGAGGTGCAGACGAATTGCTATTGTGCGGAAGAAATGTCGATACTCCAAGTGGTGTCGGTACATAATTGGAGTACCATGGAGCCATTGTGTCCATGTATGCACGGCGCAGCCAGCGAAGCGCCTAAGATTGTTTATCAGCTGTCATGCGGAATTGGGGGCCGAATTAGATGATGCTCACTTACCGCTTCAGGTCCTGGCAGCCACTGCAACATTGTAAAATTTAGCACCTCGGTCGGACTCCATGTATATCTCTTGCCGTCGCTCTCCTCCTCTCTTGCAGTATAGTTTGGGGACTGTGGCATGAGCCCCGATGGTACTTGACCAACTTCGACTTGCTCCTCATCACTTTGCTGCATCTCCAGCTCAACCGGCGAAAGGAACGGGCTCCTCGGTCTGCCCGAAAATGGGCGTGGAGCAACATCTCGTGTATGTATGACATCCAAGAGTGCTGCAAGCAGTCCGACAGGCGAGTCACATAGTGAAAACGCCAGTGTCTGTGGCCGAAGTGAGTAGAGACGATGCAGTGCCGGTCCCAGCGGTTGACTACTACCCATCTCATTCTGCTTCCCCAAGTCCTCCCTCCGCTGTCCAGATTGTGGTTCGACATCGCTACCAACATACCCAAAGCTCAACAACGGCACCTTTGCCTGCGTCAACTCTGCAATCCGCCACTTGAAATACTGCAGCGGACTCCGTCTACATGTTGGCGCCTTGAACGCTGGATTGACTGTATGCACCGCAAGACAAGATTTCGGATACCGTATCGCCAGAACCCGACAAATGCTAAAACCCCTAATACAACGTCAATACTGACCCGTTATTCATCTGTGCATCAAAACTCACCACCCCATCCCATGCGCAACAAACTCGCTATACCCCAATCTCCCCATCAACTCCCAAAACACCTCAGCCGTGCCCTCCAGCCCAAACCCTTCCTGCATACTCGCATCGCTAAACCCAAAACCAGGTATACTCGGCGCCACAACATGGAATGCTTGGGGTATCGCACCACCCATATCAGGTACGTACTGCGGTTCTGTCAGCGCATTGATGATGCGTTGGACCTCTATGAATGATGAGGGCCACGTATGTGCCAGTAGCAGTGGAATAGCGCCCGGTCTCGTCGACCGCTTGTGTACAAAGTGCATGCGAAGAGATTGCGTTCCTGACGGTGACGTTGTACGGATTGTTGTGCGGAACTGGGGGAGGAGGGAATTGAAGCGGGATTCGGCGGCGCGCCAGTCGTAGGTTTCTAGCCTAAAAGTTGTGTTAGTCTATTTGAAGAAACAAAAAGCGGTTCTCGTCGTTGGAGGGGAAGAAGAGATGGAAGAAAAGAGAGATTAGATATTTGAAAAAAAAAGATAGTACCAGAAATCCAACAAAGGTTCAAGAACACGCTTCGGTGTACCATGCTCCCACATGCGCTCCTCAGGCAACTCCAACTCCCGTGGCAGACGTGTTAATTCGAGTTTCTTTCGAGTGAGTTCCAGGTACTTGGACGATACCTAATCCTCATGTATTAGCAACATGTGTAAAGGTAAACAAGAGAAGGGGGTTGTAGTACATGCATACTATACGTAGTGATCACTTCATCGCCATGTGCCACCGACCCCATCCTTTCCTCTCTCTGCCAGAAGATATAACCTTGGTATCGAAAATCGCCGAAAAAATGAATAAACGCTCCAACGTAAACAATGTTCGTAGTATTACTTAGCCTCAACCTCAAATGCAACACACACACCCCAGCCGTTCAAACCCAACAAACAAGATAATCACCAAAAAAGTAACACAAAAGCATGCACTAAAAAGACGGCGATTTTGTTTTGTTTTTTTCCCAAAAAAAGAAAGGCGGGACAAAAGAAGGGTCCATGTAAAGTACAAGGTGTATGCGTGCCATACTTACTACCCTATATCCCCTCCCCCCGACACACACACGTAGAGCAAAAGAGATCATCCCATCCCATCCCACCCCCCTTAAGCCCATCCTTCGTCATCCACACGGCACAAAACAAGCACACCAGCTTGCGCGTCTCCGCATCATGCGCCTTCAAGCCACCAAAGCAAAAAAAAAAAACAAGCCCCTTCCCCGCCGAGACGGTCTAGAAACCCCGACGAGGGATGAGGGGGGCGTTTGTGTGAATGTGGCAAACGGGAAACATAAAGAATAAACGATTAACATTACGGGACGGTGTGGCTGTGCGCAACGTAAAGAGTGATCGACAGACGAAATGTCAGGTTACGGAATAATAGGGCTTAGAGCATTAACGATAACAGCCATGAACAACACACCAATCATATGGTCAAATAGTCTAGTTGCTACTATGTCCCGAAACCCAGTTTACCTATGCATATGTAGACACTAGTGGCAAAAAGTACCTTATTCGCCGCCTCGTCCCGTCGGGTGTGACCTTGCAGAAAGCGTTTCCAAGTATGTATGCATGTACGCTTTAATTTTAAATAAACATGTCTAACAGGCTACTTTGATCAAAAAAATAACAAGGCAGCGAAGCTTATACGTCTCGAACGCTGGCTGCACCGGGATGACCGCTGCTCGAGGGAGAGCGTTGCGCGGCTTGAGCAGCCACGCCGCGCAGGTTGAGCGAGCCAATTCGCTGCACTAGATTACTGCCCACAGCATCTACAGCGCCTCGCGGTTGCAGGAGCGAAGGAGTGGTAGCTGCTGCTTCTTGCACCTTGAATAGCCGTATACTAGTGTTGTTCCATACCCCAGCCGTGCCCTTTGCTACAAGCATCTCCGCTGCGAAGACGAAACCCCATAGTAGCGACTCGTACCAACCAAGCGACAGCGGTGACCATTCGAACAGGTGTACCCTAATTGGCGACGGCTCAATGCCGCGCACTTCGGTCTCGCGAATGATCTTCAGAGCTTGTGCTGTATCATTCGAGTTTCCTGAAACGGGCAGTTTTGGCCCAAGCTCCGATATCAGCATGAGGATAGTATGCAGCGGCAACTCCGAAAGCCATCCTTCCAACTAAAGGCCATGTTAGCAAATGTGTATGGTTGAAATAAGATGACTTACCCATGGGACGGACGGCGTAAAGAACTCGTTGGAAGCCATTGCCGGCCCGGCTGCGCTGTGCAAGCTTGTTATGCTGTTTTGCCTTGAGAATGCTGGCTGGCCTACTGGTCGCTTGCCTCGTGCCTTTTCTGACATGCCCCTTAGCTGTAGAGGCACTGAATCGTCCACGGACGAGGCTATCGATGCGCTTCTTGAAGCGCCCGAGGGTGATTGTGGAGGAGATCTGATTGGTCCGGATGTGCGCGACGCATCTGCTTCCTCGTCCGAATCATCATCGTCGCCAATTGCAAAAGCGCTGTCTTCTTCCGGCACATTGCCCAAGGTGGGTGTTCGCGCGACTGTCGGGCTTCTTAGACTGTCTATAGAGTTTGTGCGTGTCATATCTTCTCCGCCCTCCTTCCGTAGTTGGTTCTGGCGCTCAAGTTCCTCTTGGCCACTTTCGAGTGTGAAATCTCGGAGCGCTTGGAACCGCTTCCGTGAACGCACAATCGCGTAGACGAGATTTGGGTTATCTGTTGCTAACTCAGTAACTGGCAAATGGTAACTGTACTGATTATACTTACGAGGATACTGGTGCTCTATGATGGCATTCAAGACCTCCAAGAGCGAGTGAAGAAGCGTGTGGTTGTTTTCGTTGGCAAGCAAGAAGCTGGGTGAGGACATGGATGCAAAGAGCTGCAATAGCTTTGAGCTGGTTGCACGCTCAAGATTCTGAACGTAGGCGGCAATGTTGTTGAGTATCGCAAGCAGCGCGGGATATATCGCATCAAGCTTGCCTTTGCTGGTGGTAAGAAGTTTATAGATTGACTGGTGTGGTTAGCAGATGTATGGTGATTGTTGGCTGGGCTACACACTGTAATGACATAGTCGGCATATGTGCCATGGAAGTTTGGTATCCGGATGCTGGCTGGAAGCGACTCTTGGCCTTCAAATGTCTTGTTGAGGCTCTTGCCAAACTGTGGCTCGACGCTCAGTGTCTGGAGCACGAAGATGCACATGCGCACAAGACCCTGCTTGGAGGGATCATTGCGCTGATCAATGGCATAGTACAAAACCAAGACAACAAAGTCGTGCGCTCTGTCAGTGTCGATGATGAAGGAGCGGAATCGCTTGTTGCATTGCAGCGCCTCCCAGAAGAGCATAATCATCTCCGGCGCCCATGTCAGCGACTTGTGACTGCCGGGGAGATAAGACGTGTTTGCTTGAAGCTAGCGAGTATTAGCCAGGGGATGTGTAGTTAATTTACGTGGTGCGTACCGGCTGGTTGAGGATTCTTGTCATGCCATCCACGAGAAACTGGAAATCTTGCGGACGATGCAAACGACCAAGGAAGTGACGGAAGAAATTCTTGGGCGCCGGGCCATTGCCAGGTTCAGGGATGGGGTATAGGACGAGTACCAACAGTAGCTGCAAACAGTATGTGACCAAAATCTGCCGCTGGTCCTTGAAGACGACATGGTCGTAGGGCACGCGCCATGTTGCGGGGTTGTACTTGAGTGTCTGTGGGGGATCAGCGGTTACACGAGGAAGCGACGAGGGACACGCACAGTATTGAGGAGCGAGCAGAGCACGGACAAGACGACCTGCTTGTCTGGACATGTGGCGATGTATGTGATTGCCTTGACGCCTTTTACGGGCAGCACGCCTGCAACTGGTTAGAATCGAATTGATGTGAGCGCGTGGGAAGTTGCATACCCGCCGACATGTACATGGACTTGCTGGCCAGGGTGAGGAGCAGGCGCAAGATCTCGGTCCTGTTGCTTTCAAACTCCTTTGTGGATGCGACGGGCGTGTTGCAGCCGACGCCGCTCTGCCAGATGGCATAGCTGACCTTGTTCTTGCCGGGGGCGACCTTGGGCAGGGTGAAGTCGGAGAAGAAGAGCAAGTCGATGAGGGTGTCGATAATCTCCTCGGCCAGCGGCTTGGCCTTTTCGAATTCGGGCTCCTTCTCTGTGGGCGTCTGTTCCGGGTCGGCCTCGTCGAAGATGACCTCGCTGCGCACGAGCTGGCCTCTGCGACTGCGTTTGCGACGCTCAGCCCAAAAGAACTGGTCCTCCCAGGTGTCGAGGTGGTCGGCTTCGTACAAAAAAGGCAACAGGCGGGTGAGGACACGGATGCAGTTGAGGGCATCGCGCTCCGGGGCGAGGTCAGGGTCTGGGAACGAGGGATGGTTGCGCAAGACAATGAGGCGCGAGGTGACTGCGAGCACCAGCGTCTCGAGGTTGGCTAGGTTGTTGTCGCGGGTGCGGCGAATGTCTGCAGGCGAGAAGAGGGAGAAGACATCCTCGGTCGATTCGGGCAGCTCCCAGAACTGGCGGCCATGGTCAGCAGAGGAGCAGGATATGAGTTCAGCAGACGGCATACACCGGTCCAGTAGACATCGTCGGCAGGGATCTGCTTGGGCTCAGACAGGCGGAAGATGCCCTGCTTGAAGGAGAGTTTGGAGTCGGATGCGCCCATTGGGAAGCATGCTACGTCTTCATGCGCTCATTCTGCGGGAGAGAGTGTCTATATGTGGGGGGTATGTGTATCTAAGGGTGTGGGCGAGTGTTTCGCTGTGTTGCATGTGTGTATTCTGGCCAGAAAGCAGCGCAGCCTCGCTGACAGGGACAAGGTGACGTCGGCCGCCCAGCTGCACACCCACCCGACCCAATCCACCCCCCGGCCATTCACATGTTTTCGCGTCTCGGCGCGTCTTGTTCTTCTGCAGGACACACATACACACGGTGAATTCATACATGTTGTCCGTCTCGCAGACACTTGTCATGTGCACATATCCGCACTTGTACCACCGTCCTCACTAGTAAAGTCACTGGGCTCTGGGCTCTGGGCTCTGCTGCAGGGACGGTGCCTTACATAATCACTGCACTGCCCTGCTCTGCCTATGGTACATCATATCGCCGACTGCTGCCTGCGCATCCCATCCATTCTTATTCCACTCCCGTCCGCCCGTCCTTCCCTTCCTCCTTCCTTGTCCTCGCCCGTTCCCACCCTCACCCCCGCGTCCTCGTCTCCAGCCGTCCATCTGCAAATCCCCACGCCCGGCGCGCGCCCTTGCCACCCGCACTCCGCCATAGAACAGTGGGCACTCCGCCACCATGCCGCCAAAACGAAAGCTTGCGCAGACGGCTGCCGATGCTGAGGCCGAGGATGGCTGGGACGACAACGACGAGGGCCCCATGAGCGACCAAGAGACGTTCGATCAGCTCAAGGAGGAGTTCGATGTCAAAGCCATGACGAAGCGCGCGCGCGCTGGCCGTGTCCGCGATGCCGCAGCTGATCTTTTCAGAAAGTCGGACCAGTGGAGTGCGCCTCTCAAGTCGGACCACTACAACCGTCCGCTATGGGTCAACGATGCAGGCGGAATCATCCTCGAGTCCTTCCACCCTCTCTTCGATGAGGCCCAGGACTTTTTGATCAACATCGCCGAGCCGCAGTCGCGTGTCTCCAAGATGCATGAATACCAGCTCACAACCCACAGTCTGTTCGCTGCCGTCAGTGTTGGTCACTCTAAGCAAGAGATCATCGAGAAGCTTGACCGCTACTCCAAAACTGCCTTGTCTGAAGCAATCAT